TCTGGGGACTATAAATCCTCTTGGACTATGGAATAGAATCAAAGAAGGGTATTGAGGGGCCATCCCAAAGCCAGGGCTTGTAATTTAACATGGCATCTCATTTATTGAGCTGCTACTATACACAGGCTTAGGATTCTTTTTAAATTATGAAGATGAGTCTCTATCACTTAAACTCTCAGGTGTCATGGGCTGGTTGGTGCTATTGATATACATTTGAGACCAGAGGCCATACAGCTAAAGATGAAGAAAGTATCTGCTGCCAGTGAACTTCACTCTTACCATAGCATGTTTTTTAAAGAAAAAAAAAATGGTGAGCTTCTTGTCTCATACTATAGTTACCCACAAGCTGGACAGACGTGTGTTAATAACATGCTTTGGATGTCAGGAAACCAGGACTGGGAATCTAGCTCTGAAAGTAGTCCTTGGAATTGCCTTGGACAAGTCACTTAACCACTCCAAGCCTCAGTGACCACATGGCACTAAAAGGAATGAAGCGGTTGGAAGGAATTCTCTCTCTCCTCCCTTACAGCCTTATGGTTTTAATCCAAAGATAGCCTGTCTAAATGGAGTGTGAATGTTTGTCTTTCATTCTCTCCTCAAGCTAATTCAAGTTACTTGTCAAACCCAATTCTCTGTGACTGGACAGATGACTTACTCTTTCTCTGGGGAATGGTTCACTTGTTAATTCTTACTCAGCATTTTATGAAAGTGCTAAATGTCAATGCAGCAATGCAAATAACAGCTAAAGGAGCAAAGAAACTATGTGACACGATCTCATTGTGCAATACACTTTTATTTTCCTTTTACCTTTGCAGTCATCTTTGAGTAATCGTTGTGTAAACAATAGAATGGAATGAAATTACATTAAATTGTATGCAAATGGCTCTAGAACACCTTAACAATTATGACAAGGCAATTATAAATAACTTTTTTTTCCTTAGTAATATATATTTGCTTTTTAAAGTACATTAAAGAGCTGCCGTATCTAGGGTTAGCTAGGAAAGAGCAATGGTACCATCCCGGGAGCCCACCTCCCTGAAAGTTGAGACTCCAATTTTGAAAATCCTAAAGTTTACTAGGTTCCATTATATATAGTCAAGCAGAGGGCTACTTGGTTTGAAAGTATTTATTCTTGAAACTTAACAACATTTTACCTTTTCTAGGCATTGCACAAAACCCTTTCTATTATTTTCACTCCACCTGGGTATTTTGCAGAATTTCAAGTAAAACTCAGATTCTGGTATTTTCAAGTTTATCACCTTTAGAATAACAAATCCTGTCACTTAAGGAGAGCCAAATCAAAGATGGGTATATAGCTAGCAATCTAACAGAATGGCGACATTTTATAGAGCATTCTAAACGTTCCAATGAAGCAAAACCTAACATATGCCACCTTATGTAGAGGAAAATTTAGATCTGAGACTATTCCAGTGAAGAAGCCTCAGGCACATTCTTAATATGAAAGTTTGCAAGGCACCTCCCTCTCCCAAGAGACAATCAGATTGTGAATTGGTTTTTAGGCAAACAAACCAAAAGAATAAGCATCCAAATTCCTAATTCAGTCATTTCAAAGATTAGAAGTTACAAATACTCCAAAGATAGACCCCAAACTTTTTGTTTAAATAACAAGAGATTAACTGCAAGAAGCATATAATCAAAACCTTTTTTTCTTATAGCTAAGGTGTGTGATGCATAAATATATGAAAAATAAAATTCACAGTCAGTTTTAAAACTAGAATTCAAGTTTGGCTAATAAATCTTAATTTTATAAGTATATTAATTTCTAAATACAACATAAAAGAGGCAGTATTGTCAGATGTACAATTAAAGTATTATAACAGAAATAACAATGAAAGAAGAAATAGGCTTCTGATAGAAAATTCCTTTTGTTGCCAATAAATAGGACCACCTGAGTGTATTTCAAATTCTTTTTCACTTAAGGGATATCCAAATTGATTGCTAAGAATATTAAATAGCTTTTGGAAAAATTAGCAACAGTCGTGCAGCTGTGGCATTTGCTTGTTCTCATACTGTGGATTGCTAGAGAATAAAGCAGAACTCGGAGTGTTGTACATTTAAAAAAATATGTTTTTATCCAATTTTGTTGAAGCCAAACTCTTCACAATCTTCTGATTTTGCTGGGAACTGGGAGTGAGGGGGTGGGAGCAAGTGGGCAGGGAGAGGGAGGGCGAGAGGAGTGGGGGTGGGCCATGACAGATCAGGTGACATCAAGGGACATACATCAGCTGACACTCAACTGAGCAAACCCAATCAGCTTCACTTCATCAGGAATCTCCGATCCATCACAGCCAGAAGCCTGTAAAGGGAAAAAGAAACCTTGAGTGCTGGTTTGTTGCTGCTGCTGGTTTTTAAGGCTTGTTATGTGATGACAGCTCCAAACAGTTGGTTTGGGACCATATGTCCCATTTCTTCTAGAAGAGACACCCCAAAAATCACTCTCTTGAATGACTACTCAGTGCCAAGTGCTGTTAGAAATCTGGCCATCATGCTATCAAGTACAGAACAGAGGTGGAAAGGGGTTTGTTACCTATTAAAATACCACCGTGCCCAGGCTGGCAGCTTCGGAACTGCTAATGAAACGGGACTGCCAAGAAACCATAACTAAATAAGGTTATTTTAAATATACTTTCTAATTAGATCCTCTTAGTAATAATTCTAAAAAGAATAGTATGATAATAAGCAGAAGAGATCTAACTGGTCACTTAGGGATAATTTTGTTTTCACCAATATCATCTCTCCTATAAAACTTGCCAGGGAAAAAAAGGTGATTACCAAGTCCTAGGATGGCACTCATTTTTAGGCAGCTACTATTTATACACCAGTGAGTAGGTTTTACAGGGAAAGGTATAACAGAATTTTGGTTGTAATGTTTTAGGACATATTAATTGCCTAAAATTGGTCAAAATTATGGTGTGTCAAATAATTTACTATTTTTCTTCTTCGACATCAGAAAGAACTGGAAATAAGCCATTGACCTTCAACTCGCTCAGTGGTCCTAATTAATAAGTTATTATATTTTTTGTCACCTCTCCCCTTTTTTTCTTCTCTTTTATACACACACACACACACACACACACACACACACACACACACAGTACTCAGATCGACATTCTAAGCTGCCTCTTTACCCTACGGTACATACATCAGCACTGTTCTTATATAAGTATCACAAATGGGGAGAAAGAAGTTTGATGGATGAATGGGAGTGGGCGATTAATTACCAAAGGGTCATACAAACCTTTTCTGGGCTGAATTCCTGATAAACTCTCACAATAATTAGTTTCCCATAGAAAAGGATCCTTTCCAATCACTACAATTAACCTGCTTCACACTACTTGTATGTTTAGAACAATAAAAAAAAAACAGCACAGAAAAACAGACTTTGTTAACTCTAACATATCTCATTAAATACATTCAGTGTAACTAGTTATGCTTGCAATAAGAAAGTCAGTAGCCCGAAGGGTGCAGATACTAGTCAGTATTTAAAGAATGTGCTTTGTGCCTATCCAGTCAATAGTAGCTCCAGCTTCCCTTGACAGATAAGCTATTTAGTGAAGGACAACTTTCACTGTTTGTGTTGACAAGGGCAGTGTGATCTAAAGTGCTCCTCTCCTTATCACAGTCAACAAATAGTGCAGGTATAGAGAATGCAGGTATGCCTACTGAGGTCTTTCTTAAGGTGTCCCACTGACACTGTACTACTCGCCTCTCCTACCACTTTCCCTTGCATTATCACCGCTTTCTTATCCACTTCCCGAAACCTTTCCTTCTTCTCTCCTGTGTACTCTTGTTAATATCATGTGCTCAACCCGCTGAGTGGTGGCTGGGACCATTTGTGTCATTGACAGGCAGCTGACAAATATCTGAGGACAAACTAGGGCTGCTAGTGGTGACAAAAAGGTCATACTGGCAAGAGTGAAGTACAACAATGTACTTCAAAGAAACATCAGAAGTTGGGCAATGTGAATATCAGGAGGTTGAAATTACTAGAAATAAAAATACAACACCCAACAGAGGTTAACCTGGCTAGAAAGAAAAGGAAAATATTAAATCCTTTCTTGTGAAGAGTCATGGAAATAAGAACTTACAACAAGAGGGGATGATCAAACCAGTGATTACTGTGTGTCACAGAGGGGTCTCCACAGAGTCCCTACCCACCCTGGGTCCTCAGTGACTCCTGCATCTACACTGACACATCTGTCTCCTGGTTGGGTCCTTGGCTTTCTGTGACTCAAGGCACTCAGCCTTCCCTGATACCCCGGCTCTTTCTTAACCACTGCTGAGTTCCTGCCTCCTCTCACTTACCTGCAAAGCACATATGAGGGCAATATGCAAATGACCTTGGAATTCAGGGACAAGGGACCAGGGACACTTCAAAGCAGCAGTATTCAAACTTTTGGGTCTCAGGATATCTTTAGACCTTTAAAAATTATTAAGGACTCAAAAAAGCTTAAGTTTATGTGGATTACATTTATTATATTGACTAAGGAATTAAAACAGAAAATTTTAAAGTATTTTAAACATATTATTTTAAATTATGTTAAAATGTTTAAATAATAGAACAAATAGCATATTTGGAAACAAAAAACATTTTTATGTAGGTTAATTAACTATACTGACTGTATTCAAAATTAAAGTTTAGAAATTTTAAGCACATTTTAATGTTAAAATATTACTAAAACATTATATATGTACTTAATTTTGAGTCAAGGTCTCACTTTATTGTTCAGGATGGAGTGTAATGGCATGATCACAGCTCATGACAGCCTTGACCTCCTGGACTCAGGTGATCCTTCCATCTCAGCCTCCCGAGGAGTTGGGACTATGCCACTATGCCTCGCTAATTCTGTGATTTTTTTTTGTTATGAGGTCTCCCTATGTTGCCTAGGCTGGCTTTGAACTCCTGGGCTCAGGCAATCCCCTTGCCTCAGCCTCCCAAAGTGCTGGGACTACAGGCTTGAGCAACCGAGTCAGGCTATAATAAATATATTTTAAAGACATAAAGCATGTTTATGCAGGTTATATTTATTACACTATCTTAAAATTAAAGCTAAAATTTTTAAAAAATATTCATTTACTAATTCATTAAACATAACAATAAGCTCATTACATGCTAACGTAATTCAAATGTTCATGAAAAATAACCATACATATCCCCTCCCCCACAAAACTGAGAAAAGTAGCATTGCTTTACATTTTTGCAAGCCTCTTTAATGTCTTGCTTAATATAAGACAGCTGAATTCTCATGCCTACTTCTTTATTCAGTCTACTGCATTATGTTGTTCTCCTTGAATAACACACAAAACACACACACACACACATAACCAGCCTCTCACATGTATGTAGTTGAAAGAGGGAAGAGTATTTTAATAGCTTTTCCAAATAGCTGCTGACATATTTTGTTGCTACACAAAAATTTGCCAAGTGATAGTGTCTTCAAGGTTAGTTGAAATGTAGAATCTGAAACCACAGCACTGATGTTTTCATACCCTGTTATGTTAAAATCCATCGGTCTACCTTGCCCTTCGAATAGATCTTTTTACCCATGCCTGATTTTAAGCATCACTGAGTTATGCAGATCTTCCAAATGTTGACATATTTCATTATATAATTTGAACATTTCATTACACAATGTCAATAACTCATATTCATTAATACCACCCATCACCAATTTCATCAGAAAAGTCTTTAAGTACTGGTAAGAAATCAAGCTTACAGTGGTGCATATAAGTGCTACAAAATCCTATTTTTTGTTTGAAATATTGAATTTATTATTGACAACAAACATTGTCAGGTTTTTTCTCTTAAGTGTCAGTCTTACTTTGTTCATTTTGTAAAAAAAAAAAAAGTCTGCGAGTCTGAATAACCATAGTGTGTCAGCTATTCTTTCAAGTAAAAAATGATGTTTCATGAAAAAGCAAAAAATGGCCAGTTGAGCTTAGAACCAATCTCACAAGTGCTTTTCCTGGAGACTGCCATTGTACTTAAGCATACTGAAGAAGTGATTCTTGTTTCATCACACAGAAAACGAAAAAGATGTGTCCTCCAGTTGAGATTCAGTAAAGTCAATAATGTTTCCTGCTTCCTTAAGAAAATTATTAAGTGAAACCGGTTTTGTTTTATGAATGAGTGAGTGCACAGCTTTGGGGAACATGATGACTACTAGGGCAGTTTGTGCCGACATGGCCAGTTTTACCCATGATGGCTTTTACACCAGTATGAACATAGTGGAAAAGGCAAGTCGTATCTTTTGTCTTATTATGAGAAGAGTTTTGACATCCGGGATCCACTGAAAGGGCCTCAGGGAAACTCAGAAGTTTGGGGCCCACACTTTGTGAACCTCGGCTTAGAAGTGAATGAGTTCTGAACACGCCACCCCTAAAACACGGCAGTCTGGCATGTTGACTGTTTTGAGTTAAAGACACTTGAAAAAACAATAGCCCCCTGACCTTCCTAAAAGCGGGAGTTAGAATTCCTATGTGAAAGGTGTCCTACTTGTCCCTGGAAGAAGACAGACTTTCCACCGAAGGTGGAAATCGAAGCCGAGAGACATCTATAAAACTAACCTTGTTAAACTAACCCTTGTGTTCTTTGTCACTTCTCCATGATGAACTTCCCTCACCCAAGCCCCCTTGCCTTGCCCCTTTTCACAATTTACTGCTTTGTCCAATTCGATCTATGTGTTCAACTCTAACAGCTTCTCTGGGTTTCTTTAGGAGGACTCTCTTGTCACATAAGACTTATGTAAAATAAATGTGTATGCTTTTCTCCTGCTAATCTAATTCTCAGGCCCAGCCAAAAAACTCTAAGAGGGTAGAGGTAAAATTTTGCCTCCTCTACAAAAGGAAAATGTATACATCCTCAGGAACCTAGTGTGACAGTGTCATCACTTCATGCACATTCTCACTCATGTGTGCATACCGATTCCTGAACACCCCCCACCTCCTCAACCCTCTGCCAGAACAGTGGGCGTGGCCCCTCGAGAAGCTGAAGATACGGTTTTGCAGCCTCAATCACAAGGATTCTCTCACCAAATGTGGAATCAGTAGAGTCTGAAAACAGCCTGTGTCCACGCCAGAGGTTGTGTCTGAATTGGCCTGGGGTGTGGCCAAGACTGGGATTTTTTTGAGCTCCCCAGGTAATTCCATGGTGCCACCCACTATAAAGTCTGAGAACTATTGCTCGATCCCAGTGCTTCCCAGTGTGAAGCTCCACGTAACCCTTAAAGCAATGGTTCTCAAACTTTAGCCTGCATCAGAATCACCTGGAGAGCTTGTTAAACCAGATTCCTACGCCGCATTCCTATAGATGCTGATTTCTTAGGCCTGAGTGTGGGACCCAGAATTTACATTTTTATCAAGCATCTAGTTTCCAGGTGAAGCTGATACTCTAGGTCTGGGGCCATACTTGGAGAACCATTGTTTTAGGCTGGGAACAGGAGGCACAGATCTGCCACATAGACCTTCTTGAACTGGCGGTTTCCTTTAAGATCTTTGTCTCATCTTTCTCCTCCTGCTGAAGGGGGAGAAAGTTAAAACTCTTTGGTAGCTTAGGTATTTTAACCCTGTCTCAGTCTTGACTCTACGCACCTTGGGAAATACTGCCTTAGTCATGCAGCCTCCAGCTACACCTAAGCTGAGAACCTCTAAAAATAAGTCCCTTTAGTGATTGTCAAAACGCTTATGAAATTTCTATTTGCAATGCATTTAATGCTATTAAACTTCAGTAACTAAAATCTATAATGCTCATGTAAATGTGTACCAATTAGATGTTAATTATATGTACTTACAATTTGTATTCTAGCTTCAGGGCAAATTAAATATATCTTATTTCATGTTTTACTAATGTAACTTCAAAAATTCCATATTGAAAGCCGCAAGATTCACCTATGTTACAACATACAGTGTAGTAAGTTATAAAAGTGACTCAAAAACATTTATAAAAATCTATCTCAAGGCTTACAACAGCATATCAAACTCAAAGCACATAATTAATACTTAAGCTGAAACGCGCTCCATGCCTGAACCACTTTGTTAAAAGTGGAGAAAATAATCTGATCTTCCAGTCTCTGGCCATGCCAACAATGGAAATCATCCTCATCTGTCAAATAAAGCTAAGGATCTCATTGGGTAGTTAAAAAAGTAAAGGCACTTCTCTATAAAGACAAGATCTTTGCCCCTTGAGCTCCTGCTTTTCTTATATAAAGAGATATACAAGATAAGGACAGATCTTTTCATACTTGAATCCAATTTTTAATAGTGGTGGGATGGAGGAGAGGAAAGAGACCGGGGATTGAGCCATCTTTTAATGGAAACTCCTCAGCCTGGACTGAGTGCTGGGATCACCAAGAAGGGCTTTTGATATACCCCAAGCCCAGGGTGCACCAAGAGCAATTCAGTCAGGACACCTGGGCAGGACCCAGGCATCAGTAATTTTTTAAGTGCCTTCATCATCCCCTGAGTGAAACTATTGTGCAGTGAGGTAAAGAATCACAGTGGCAAGATACTGAGGTGCTTCAGACCATTTTCAGCCTGACATTCTTGAGATGCCATGAAAGCACTGAGATTAAAATAATGATAAATTGCTGAGAGATGAAAGGACCACCAACAGCAGCAGCTTATGAGGAAAGACTCTGCTCAAATACTTTGATCTTTTCTTCCTCAATAAAATAACCAAATTGATACATGAAGGCAAATGCATCTGACGTTTTATCCGGTTGTTAGTGTCTTACAGAAGATTAGGCCAAAAACAAGTTCAAATTAGGGCTGTCTAGTGGATCTCAATCTGGCTGTCTGCTGATGGCAACTAAGAAACCCTCTCAGGTTTTAACAAGGACTGGACAGAAAATGAAGTAGCAGAAATGAAGTAACCCTTGGCTGGGCATGGTGGTTTATGCCTATAATCCCAACGTTTTGAGAGGCCAAGGTGGGAGGATCACTTGAGCCCAGGAGTTCCAGACCAGCCTGGGTGACACAGTGAGACCTCATCTCTACAAAGAAATACAAAAATTTGTCGGATATGGTGGCACATGCCTGTAGTCCCAGCTACTCAGGAGGCTGAAGCAAGAGGATCACCTGAGCTCAGGAAGTTGAGGCTGCATTAAGGTTGGATTGTGCCATGGCACTCCAGCCCTGGCAACAGAGTGAGTCCCTGTCTCAAAAAAAAAAAAAAAAAAAGCCTGCTGGCTTTTTTTCAGTACTTTGGGAAACAGAAAGCAGAGGCAGGAAGACTGCTTGAGCCCTGGATTTCAAGACCAGCCTAGGCAACACATAGCGAGACCCTAACTCTACAAAAAATTAAAAAATTAGCTGGGTGCGGTAGCACAGACCTATAGTCCCAGTTACTCAGGAGTCTGAGGCGGAAGGACTGTCTGAGCCCAGGAGGTTGAGGCTGCAGTGAGTCATGATTGTTTACTGCACTCCAGCCTGGGTAACTGAGTGAGACTCTGCCCCCCCACACACACAAAAGGCAATTCTTGTGCTTGGTTTTTTCAACATCTTTAACTACCTTTGAGGGAAAAAATCATCAATTTCCTTACTGAGAACACCATATTACTTACTATATTCTCAAGCTGTAACAGGAAATGAAACATGTGGATTTGTTTCCAGGACTCTCCTGTACCCGACAGGCCACTCTTAATCTGCTTAAGGTACAGAGGAGACAGAGTCTCAACCAGTGTAAATGTATCTAGTCATCCAAAAAGATGAATCTACAAAAAGATAGAAAACTGTAAAACCATAAGGCTGCTGGGGCCTGCCTCTAAGAATGAATAGTTAGAGTGTGGGCGTTGAGGCTAGACCAGAGTTGGATTCCCAGTTTCCACTGTGTGATCCTGGGTAAGTTCACCCAGAAAGTCTCAGGTTCCCAAGATGTGAAATGGACCAGCTGTTAGAGGTGAAGCAGGGAGGCTGGGTCAGGGAGGTCTTCGTTAGCCACAGCCAGGGATGTGGGGTCAAGAAGAGCGCATGGGAGAGCCAACAAAGTCTATGAAACATTTTGGAATTGTAGGAGTACTCGAGCTATAGCCACAGGGCAGTAGGCATAGCCAGAAGCTGACAAATTGAGGGAAGGAGAATCAGTCACTGAAGATGAACAGATCCTGCTCAGGTGCTAGAGATGGAGATGTGGAAAAGAGGACAGGATCAAGAGAGAATCTAGGAAACACACATGCTGATTAGAGTAGGTGATGAGGGAGGATGAGGGAGGGTTTTACATTATTCTTACTGTTTACCTGGAGACAGTAGAATAGCTGTTTTTTCAAAACCTTCCATAGAAGGAAAGGGCTAGGGTTACTGTCCCTCTTTCATAAGAAAGCAAATTTAAAGACAGTGAGAATACTTCAGGATGAAAAGTTTTAAACTCTTGAATATCCTGTTTACATATTCAAAATTGGAAAAAATGGCCTGGAGATGGTATATAAAAGGGATGAGGGGTCACCAACATTGGTTTGAATGCTGACACAGGATGCCATGGTCTCATTCATATACTCTCGTATAAATGAAACTCTTTTACAAAACTGGAGGGGAATTAGAAAAATAACAGAGGTGACAGTGCAGTCCCAAACCAGAACAGGGATTTTCCAGCTTGGGAATAAGGTACTCTGTGTCTGGATGAAATGCTCTTTTCTTATCAAAACAAAAAGAATTTCTTCAGGTCTGTTTTTTTCTGTGAAAATCTTTGTGTTTTCTTTTACCACAGCCTAGTTATCTGAAATTAGATGGGAAGCAAGACCCAGAGAGTTAATTAGCACCCAGCTTGCATTTACTGTAATCTTTAAGTGCTTTTGACCACACATACTTCCCACTTATTTTCACAAAAATAAAGACAGATCATCAATATATATGTTGTGCACAGCAAAATGTTGGCCATCTAGACCTTCAATTGCTCGTGGCATTCTGACTGACCCATGATAAGATTAATTTATAATTTTAAAATGTGCGACCTAGTAGGTCTTAATGTACCATTTGCTAAAACTTTCAGGAATAGTCACTTTTGTCCCTCTGATCTTCTCTCCATTTCCAGTCAGGACCATCATCTCTTGATTTCTCAGTGACCCCAGAATGTCCTGTACTATGTATCTCTGTGGCAACCCCAGTACTTGTGTTTAAAATCTACTAGCCGAGAAAAACTGTGGAAATAGCTCCTCTCTACAAAAATCTGTTACTGTGATTTGAAATGTAGAGGTTAGATGTTATGTCTTTGTTCACTAGTCTTCAGTGAGTTGTTCTACAATTGCTTCCAATTACCCAAACCATTTTTACAACAATCAGTCTCTATTCTTAAAAGTTAGAACCACTTGGCTTTCGCCTCAGGAAAGGTTTATTAAGAGTGTTGTTTTGAATTCAGGTTATATGTCCATATGGTCAAGGTGCCAAACTGTAAGAAAAAAACTGTCCAGGCTTCAAGATTCTCAAATGGCCACTCTTAGTCAAAGGTGTGATGGTAAAAGAACGAGGTATGCTCATGAAACAGGAATTTTCCAGTCATAATCAGTAAATGTTCCCAAATGTTGCAGAGGCAAATGTTTCCGAATGCAAAAATTGATGTGAAAAGAAGACAACAACAAAATTACAGAATAGGTTATTAAACTGTATTATTATTCCCTGTTAGCACAGCATGGCAAAATATTACCTTTTTCTTTCCGTAACTTTCCACTTACCAACTTAAATGTCAATGTTTTTAAAGCTTTGGGATCATCTACAATCTTCTGTAAATTAGCAGCCACTGTAAAATACAAACATGGAGAGAAAGTGTCCAAATTATTTCCAATAAAACTGGATTTTCACACCAATGACTCAGAAAATCTGACTAATGATGCAATAAACTGCAAAATCATTTCTTTCACAAACATTGCAAAGTCCATATAAATGACCAAATTACTCTCATATAGATATTTTCTACAACAATTGGTATCATTTCAGCAATCTTGTATCTATGAACATCTGAATTAATCGCCATACATCAACTCCACATTTCTTAAGATCTGAAATTACTTTCTAATGGAAAATATGATAGCAGTCCCCAGTGTTTTCACCTCTCAGTTTCTCTAAACATTCATTACTAAGAAATTTTATTAGCCAGGAGAGGGCAGTATAAAACAAAGAGGAGAGGTATTATTTAAAAATAAAACAAAACAAAAACCTTTCACTGGAAATAAGCCAGTACATTTGAACTCCTGTCCTATAAATTCACTCAGTTCTCTGAACACCCCCCCACCCCCTTTTTTTTTTTTTGAGTGTGAGAAGGCAGGAGTTTATTAAGAGGACAAAAGAGCTCCTAAGCGAGAGGGGACCCAAAAGAAGGTTGCCCCTCTGAACCCATTTTTATCAAAGCAACGAAATACAGTGGATAACCTCTAGGACTGAGGTGCATGTTTTAATGCTTTCAGAGCACAATGATCTGTCAAACCAGAGAAGTGCCACCTTGAATAATACCCTAGTTGGCTGAACAGGGTCAAGCACGAGAGGCTGTCAGTTTGGAGCTTAGCAATGCAGATGTTTTCCGTTTCAGTGGGAATCTTCAGAGATATGTCCTGTTCTCCATGGGGTCATGATATATCTGACACCCTAGTAGAGAAGTCAGCTTTGCCTGCTTACTCCTATGACTTAGGGTTCTGTTTTGGAACATAATTATCAACAGGCAATCATGATGGAAATTTAAAACTGCATTTTCCATAGCCAAACTTAAGGCATAAATCAAGTTAGAGCCACTGGTTAGGGAAGGAAAAGTTACTACTGGAGAAATTAGGGAAGCATGTCTTGTTTGTCATTTTAATTTTTTATGAGGAAAAGTATCTGCTGCTTCAGTAATTATGCAGTGAGAAGTTATTTGAATTTTTTAAGATACAAAATTTTAACAGAAAATAGTTAATATATAAGAGTTGTGAGAAAAATGGTTCAAGTAGAAAGTCTGTAAGGAGAGAGCTTAGTAAGAAATCTGTGCAAATTTTATTTTTCTCTAAGGTTGACTGAAAACCTAGATACATGGATTTTCTGCAGAATAGTTTATTTTATTTAATCCATCAGCTGCAGAGGAGTAAAAATGAAAATTATGTACTCAATATGGCCTATTTCTCTTTATAAACCATAATTACAAGCATCATTTTATCTTGTTTCCCTTATTTTAATACTTCCACTCTGAGTGATCTGCAGTTTCATTTTTACCAACACCCCCTGTCCCCTCATCCTTTTCTCCTTTCTTTTGCCCACATTAGCAAACACACACACATATCAGGTAGATTACAGGCCAACAACCCCAGAATCGTTACCACTGCCAAGCTTCTTGTATCCTTTCAACAGTTTCCTGAATATATTTTAGATACTAAAGTTACCCGGTAATTCACATCAGAACCACTGGCTCATGGAGTGCCAAGTTCCGCTGTAAAATCCTGTACACCAGAGCCAGTGTGTATCATGTCAGGGCATTCTGACTATATGCAAATTGCGGCAACTGAGCCCAGCACCCATTTTCTTAAAACATAAAAGTGTTTTAATAGTTCCTCTGATTTGGGCTGATTTCATGAGTGGCCATAAATTCTTCATATGAATTTCAGTCCCTTCATTAGAGTTTCTCAGTTACTGTGGATGATTTACTGCCTTGTTCTGGGTCATCTATTTCCAGTCTGCTCTCCAATGTTCAGCCAAAAGCAGAGCTCTGCCCTACACACTGCTTGACAACCCTCTCTCTGGTGTACATGCACACGGACAAGAGCCCTTTTCCAGGGAACTGGCTAAGCAAGTTGCAGACTGGAAGGCAAGAATGAGATGCTTGCATCTTAAACGACCATCCCAGAAACCATGTTCCCCAATGGTGAATCTCACACCTCTGGGACATTAAAAATTCAAATTCTGTCTTCAGTTCAAAGCAAAAATAGCAAAACTGGCCACTTACCTGATTACTTATCCCAGCTGCTAGGCTTATTTTCAATTTAGTTGATTCTAATTTGTTGTAAAGTGCTATAAAACACCTTCATTTAACTGACATCCCATAAAATTCAGGGTGATGCTAATTTCTCTTCCAGTAGCAGTGCTCATTAAAAAGATGGGTGTCACTGTGTTCTCCCTTCTCCTGACTGTGCACCTGGATTTCAAAAATAAAAATGCTCCTTACCTGGAACGTGAGCTGAGAAGGAAGTGCTGGGCAGGGCTGGCTGATACTTTAGAGCTACTCAAGCATGGGCTGAGAACACTGACTAACCTTGGTTTTTAAGGTAATTGAATTGCCAGAAAAATATGGGGCCTCTGAACCCTTTTACTCGGTAGCCATCGACTTATTCCAAATCCCTCCTGGCTTTCCCAAATAAAACTCTTTCTTCTTGTTAATACTGCAGACTCTGTAACTGAGCTCTTCTTTGAGCCAGTTCCTCTCCTCGCAGCCCATTGTCTTTCTCTGTCATTTGGGCAAACAGGGACACTAATAAAATTTACTGATGTCCGGGAGACTGAGGTCCTCAAGCCCTATCACGAGAGCTACATGAAATCTTGATGTCAGCAATCTATATTTTTCTATTTTTGTTGTTGTTGTTGTTTGTTTCCCTATGTCATACTTTAGGCTTGAATATCTGTCAGGGCTAGAAGTTTCTATTTGCTTTTTATGGGATAACATTTGGTCTAAGGTATGGTAAATATTGAGCTTTATGAAACTGTAACAGTATCATTAATAGCCACATGGAAAAGACGCTGATGCTCAATACTTCCCTGAATAGAAACAGAGAAGGAAATAAGATTGTCCTAGGGGTGATCTATCAGAGGAAAGGCAGTAGAGCCGACATTTTTTTGGCAAACTAAGTCTGGCATTCTCCAGACACTGTTTTCTCTATAGAGTCCTTGTACTACTCAATGTCTCTGCATTTTGACAGTTAGAAAAGTAAGTTATATAATGACTATTTATAGCCTGTGTTGCTGAGTAATTAGTCAAAGATACACTTTTCTCCTGAGATACTAGCTTATTTCACAACAATCTCATATAGTACTCTGTTCTGGTGATAGTGAGTTAATTCATTTAATTTGACCCACTTCCAAACATGAGGAATAGTGAACCATTGAACACTGAGTCTGATGTATTACTTCTGATAGTAAGACATTTCTAAGATTAGACAAAAGCATAGTCTTGGATTACCTGACAAGGTGATGACTTCTGAACACTGTTTTGTCCAAAGAGACACCCTGAATAGACTGATGCAGAAAGGCAGCATGAAATTGCAAAGAAAGAAAGAGACAATCCAAGCTCTAAGTAAGGAGAAAAGGAGATGATATGAGGGTAGATTTCTTATGGACTCTGCTGTAACACTAACGCAAAGTTAAAATCTTATCTTAATTCTATTTCTCTGAAATATATCCACATATACAGAAGCCTCACTAATTTAGTTTGGAAACAAATGTAAGATTCACCCCATTATTTCCCTGTATCTCCCTCATTTATCTTCATGAGATGCACAGTGTATAAGAACCTGAATTCTTGAACCAGAGTACCTGGGTTCAAATCCTACTCCTGCTCAGAGCTGTGTGACTTCAACTGGGGCAAGTTTATTTAGCTTCACTGTGCTCACCTTATCCAGTAGGCTTACCCACTGCTGCCTACTGGATAAGGTTTGTTTTGAGGACTGAGTTAATACACAAAATAGTGCTTAGAATAGTGCCTGATGCATAGCAAGGGATGAATAAATTATTACTCCCTGACATGGACAACTGCAATGCCTTATCTGGCTTCCTTGCCTTCAGTCTCATCTCCCCAGAGTCCTCTCACACATGCCAGAGGTACTTGGAGAACCTCATCGAGAACTGGAATGCGTTGCCTCCTTAGGTGATGTGTTAAACTGCTCCCATACACTTCAGGATAAAGTCCAAATTTTTAACGTGGTCAATGAGGCTCCATGATCTGGCCTTAACTACCTCTCCAGTTTATATTCTGCCATTTCCTACCATGATTCTTCCCAGAATCAAATCCATCACCCCATGCTCCTCCAGATCCCTGCCACTGCTCTCACCATCATGTGCTGAAATAATCTGTTACAGATTGGATTTCCCCACTACATTCAAACACCTTGATAATCCAGACAAAATCTTATTTATCTTTGGAAACAGTTCATCTTTGAAATGTATCTGCATATACAGAAACTGATAACTTCTCACCACCTCCACCTCTGCTCCAGAGTCCAATAATAAGTAGTCTGTCTTCTCTCTGCTTCCACGCATGTCCCTCAGGGGCTGAGTCTCCACCCAGTGGTTAGGGGAGCCTTCTAATATGCTGTCAAACCATGTCACTTATCTATTTGAAACCCTCTGAGTCCTTTCAGTTCAGAGTAAAAGCCTTGGTCTCTACAATGGTCTGTACAGCTTACTCAGGCAGGCCTCCAACTCCATCTCTGCCCTCATCCCTCACCAATTTCCCTTGCTGCTCCTGCTCCAGCCACAACAGCCTCCATGCTGACCCTGGAGCATTCAGAGCAGGCCTCCACCCGAGAACTTCTGTAAGTGCCATTCCTTCTGCCACAAATGGCTCCTCTTCTGTGACCTCCATGGCTGCTGCCTCCTTCCCTTTCTTCCAGTGCCTGCTCCAATGTTCCTGGCTACACTATTAACACCTCCCATTGCCACCTCACTTCCTCTTTAGTCAGAATTTTCCTTTCTCAAAGCACTCATCACCAGCTGACATGCTAAATATTTATATATTATTTTTGAATGTGGCCCTTCACCTAACCCCCCGCCCTCATACTCGGAACATAA